ATGCCAACTATACCCCTAGCTCTTATATCACATAACATGGGCATTATCATTTATAACAGTTCACATTACTTAATCATATCATTTCTCTCATAAACACATATCTTTTCTTTTCAGTCACGTATCACATGTACGTGTAATCATTGATCTTATAATCACATGTTCCTTCTCTTCTGTCACATACCACATGTATGTGTAAACATATATCTAATATCATATAACATGTATCACATATTGCATATTCATGTAATCATATAGATCATGTCACATAGCTTATATCATTTCTCATATTCATATATATATATGGCTCATTTTCAAATATCACATATTCCTTTTCTCCTATTTTTCATATCACGTCTCATATAACCACATATGTCTGTCTTATCTCATATGCTTCACATACATCACATATATCACATTCATATCACATATTCATATAGGCTCATGATTTTATCACCCATCATGTCATTTCACATATACACTTTTATATCGCATAAACCCATATCCTTTTATCACATAGCTTCTTATTATATCATTCACATCATATAACTTATTGTCACATAATCTCATATCACATATACTATATTCACATACTTCAATATAATTTGACTTATTTCACTTTATTACATTAAAAGATATACATATAGTCTTATGTGCTCTATCAATAGTATCTGTTCATATGATCTCCTTTTAGCTTATCAGTAAATACTACTTATTTTATCTCATCTTTCCATTTATTTACATAAGTCACCTAGCATTTACAAGAACATATCCACTCATATAATCAAGCATACATACCTTTCATGTCATTCATTTCATTCTCTATATCCTTATCACATAACTTGTTCACATATATTTCCCATATAACTCATATTTTTTTATTCATATCTTATTCTTATATCTCGTATATGTTCATTCACTTAATCTTCTATGTTCATATATCTATATATATCACAACACATAGAACAACATGTCAAACATATCATAACATTTTAAGAGTTACTTCTTACCATAACAACTCTATCACTGGCTCATCGCAAGCCAATGTTTGTTCTATAACATATGCACAAATTAAATTGCACTCACCTTAGCCTTGCTTTGATTCGATCCTAATCCTTTGATTATTCCAAAACTTGTTTAGGCTCAATATCTACATAAATATAACATTTCAAAACAATTATCAGAAGCCTAAACCTTAAACTTGATGTTAATAACTTAAGCCAGTTTAATGAACCAAAATTCTATTTTTCATTTAAAGGGAATCGATACCCCCCAGGGGGAATCTGTACTCCCTGTGTAATCTGGAATTTTTCGTTCAAGCCCAGAAAATCACTGTTCATGTACGAAAATTCAATATATCAACTTAAATTCTTCATGTTTCATTCCCTTTCATATTCTTAACTCAAATATACATAGTTAAACTAATTTATATCCATTTATTTCATCTTAAACCTCAAAATTCTATTCTTCGTATAGAAATCAATAATCATGCCAAATTTTCCATGTTATCCAAACTTAATTCTAACATTTCTAACTTCATATTCTCATAGATGACAAGTCAAATTCATCCTCCAAATTCATTTAAACCTTTATATTCAAAATTTCACTTCAAAACCCATTTTCTTTAATATGCCATAACTCCTTTATCTTTTGATTTTAAGATAACTTAAGCTTTCCTTAAGCTTAATTATCATTTAATGATCAAAACCCAACTATAAAATCAATAAATAATCAACTAAATGAAAACTCACCTTTGCTCAGCACGTTGGAGAAGAAGAAAACAAGAAGAAGAAGAGTTTTTCAGATACTTTTCCCCCTCAATGTGTTTATCTCTTCTTAAAGAGATAAAAAAAATATCTTTCATGACAAATGACCATTTTACCCTTTAATTCCTTTAATAATTACTAATAACTTTCAGGAAATATCCACAAATAAATCATTGAAATATTCAACATTTCCACTTTAATCAACAAATTCTGAAATTTTACAATTTAGTCACTAACATGTAGTTTGGGATGTTACAATTCTCTCTTAATAAAAAGGAGAAAACAACTCTCAAGAAACTCTCTAAATTCTCTAGTATTGGGAGAAAGCTAGAATGCTTTGGGATGATTTTGAAGCTTAATGGGTTAGGGTATTTATAGTTAAAGCTTAAGGACTAATCTTGTAAATACCCTAAAGTACAATTACTAAATGTGTAATTTTACCATTGCCAAAAAATCAACAATTGCTAGCTACTTTTCGGTGCCATTAATTGTGCACTTTCGGTGCCCCCCAAATTTGACAATTAACTTGTACTTTCAACAATCTCCCACTTGAATATTTGATTTGAACAATCATTTCTTCATACCATTCTTTCTACCTTGTACCATCATGTTGCTTACGTCTCTGACAGGCCACAAGAGTATCGACACCAAGTAAATTTATCAGCATTGATCACCTTCGTTATGAAATCTGCTATATTGTCTTTGGTATGGATCTTCTGCATATTTACCGTCCTTTCTTCCACCTTTTCACGAATGAAATAGTGCTGAACTCGTATGTGCTTTGTCCTTGAATGAAATGTTAGATTCCTTGCTAGATGCAAGGCGCTTTGACTGTCACAAAACAGAGAGACATACTCTTGCTTGTGCCTAAGCTCCTCCAATAGCATTTTCGACCAAATTACTTCTTTACTGGCTTGTGTAGCTGCTACATATTCTGCCTCTGTTGTGGATGTAGCCACAACTAACTGTAATTTTGAAACCCAAATTACAGCTCCACCAGCAATTTTGAACACATATCCTGTAGTAGATTTGTTTCTATCCAAATCCCCTGCATAGTCAGAATCGACAAACCCATTGATAAGTAAGTTTGATCCTCCATAACATAATGCAACATCTGAGGTCCCTTTGATGTATCTCAGGATCCTCTTTATTGTATTCCAATGCTCTTTGCCTGGATTCTCCATGTACCGACTAACCACTCCCACTGCTTGTGCAATATCTGGTCTTGTGCATATCATAACGAACATTAAACTTCCCACTGCCGATGTATGCGACACTCGAGACATCTCCATCATCTCTTTTTCACTGTTAGGACTCATACTGGAGGATAATTTGAAGTTAATAGGAAGAGAGGTAGAAATTGAATTACAATCTTGCATGTTGAATCGTGACAAGATCTTTTTCAAGTAATTCTTTTATGAAAGCCAAATCTTCCTATTACTTATGTCTTAGTGAATTTGTATCCCTAGAATCTTGTTTGCTGATCCCAAGTCCTTCATTTCAAATTCCTTAGCCAGTTGTACCTTCAATTCTTCAATATGATCTTTGTTGGGTCCTGGAACCAACATGTCATCCACATACAACAACAATATAACAAAATCGTTATCACCAAACCTCTTGAAATAAGCACAAGGGTCTGCATTAAGTCTGTTGTATCCAAGCCAAATAATGAAGGAATCAAATATTTTATACCAACACCTCAGCGCCTGCTTTAGACCGTATAGAGATTTGTTCAACCTGCAAACCAAGTTCTTCTTTTCTTTTTCTTCAAAACCTTCAGGCTAGAGCATATAAATCTCTTCTTCAAGATTTTCATGAAGAAAAGCTGTTTTAACATCTAACTGCTCTAGATGTAAGTTAAATGTAGCACACATTGCCAAGACTACTCGAACTGTTGTTAGTCGAACCACAGGAGAAAATATTTCATTGAAATCAATACCTTATTTTTTGAGCATATCATTTGACCACCAGTCTTGCACGATACCTCTAAACTTGATCGTCACCATTTTGCTTGATTTTGAAGACTCATTTGTTACCAATTGGCTTCCTTCATTGTGGTAGTGGCACAAGGTCCCATGTATTATTTTTATGAAGGGCATCAATTTCTTCTTGCATCGCCATCATCCACAGTGAAGCATCTGAGCTGTTTATTACCTCTTGGAATGTTGATGGCTCACCGTCCTCTGTTAAAAGGCAGTATGCAATATTTCATTTTATAACATAATCTGAGTGTCAATTGGGACGTCTTTTCACATGATCTGATTGACGAGTTGTTGGAGCTTCAAAACTCTCTGGTTCTTGATCATCATGTGCTGGTTCTGCTTTAGATAAATCTCTTTGTTCAAACTTTTTTTTCATATGTATCTGTGTAGTCTCTGACCTTTCAACGCTATTATCGTCTTCTTTTCTTTGTAGTTTATCTTCTACAAAGATAACATCACTGTTGATTATCACTTTACGAGCAGTGGGATCCCATATGCGATACTCCTTTACTCCATTAGCATATCCCAAGAATTTGCATTTCCTGGATTTTGATTCCAACTTTGAAATTTCTTGGGAGTTGTACATCACGTACACAATACTTCCAAATACATAGAGGTTTGAATAATCAGCAGGTTTACCAGTCCATATCTCCATTGGTGTTTTCAGCTCTATTGTTGTTGATAGAGCTCAATTCACCAAATAACAGGCGGTATTGACTGCTTCTGCCCAAAATGATTTTTCTAGGCATGCAGCCCTCAACATTGCTCTTGTTCTTTCTAACAATGTTATGTTCATTCGCTCTTCCACTCCATTTTATTGTGGAGTGTTCGCCACTGTGAATTATCTTTTGATGCCTTATTTCTTACAAGTCATCAAATTCTTCACTTGTGTATTCTCCTCCTTTATTTGTTCTGAAACACTTGATCTTATTTCCAGAATCAAGTTCCATCCGCGCTTTAAAGTTTTTGAAAGTTGAAAACACGTCTGACTTTTTCTTAATAGGGTACACCTTACATCTTCTGGAGTAGTCATCAATAAATGAGACAAAGTATTTTGCTCCGCCTAGAGATGTAACTGGTGCTTGCCATACGTCAAAGTGAACCAATTCTAGAACATTTTTGCCTCTAGAATTTGATGTGTTGAATTTCAACCGATGTTTCTTACTTGTTATGCAATACTCACACAAAGTAAGTGATATCTTTGTTAAGCCTGGAAGTAGTTTTTGCTCCACAAGAACTTTCATCATTGTTCTGACATGTGTCCAAGTTTCTGATGTCATAACATTGCAAAACCTGAACTACTTGAGGCAACAGAGGCTTTTACTTCTAGTAAAGTCTCTCCCTTCAGCATGTAGAAGTTTGATGTTATATTTTCTCCTTTCAGCACCACAAGCGCTCCTCAGAACACCTTCATGATTCCTTTCCGTGTTTCAATCTTGCTTGCTTTATTATCCAACAATCCGTAGGATAATAAATTTTTCTTCAGACCTTTCACGTATCGCACATCTCGAACAACTTTAATAGTTTCATCATACATCTTCAATTTGATGGTTCTAACGCCAACGATCTCTAAGGCATGATCATTGCAACTATACACAGATCCTCCTGAGACATGTTCATAATAATGGAACCATTCTCTTCTTGAGGTCATGTGATATGTTGTTCCCGAATCAATGAGCCATATATCTGCAAATCTTTTTCTTCATTCCATAGTGGTTGACGCTTCATAACATAGAGCATCTACATCATTTGAAGTGTTTACTGTATTGCCTTGTGGATTGGAGTTTTTTTTAGACTCCAACAATCCTTCTTCAAGTGACCCTTCTTTCCACAGTTGTAACACTTTAAATTCTTCTTGCTTCTCGACTTTGATTTACCATGTTTGTGCCTGCTGCTTTAGCCACGTTCTGTTGATCTCCCTCTCATTGTTGTCAACGCTTCTGCTTATTGCAGATTTACTAGTCTGTCTTCCTTGTTCTTGCACCAATTTTCTTCTTATATAACAACAGTTGCAACGTCATCGAATACTAGATTGGTGACATTAATGTTTGTCAATTTGATGATGAGTTGATAATACAAATCCGGTATACTTTGAAGTAGAAGTTAAACACGTTCTTGTTCTTATATTTTATAACTTAAAGATGTAAGCTGAGAAAATAAAGTGTTCAGAGTGTTTCAGTGCTCCGTCACTGAAGTAGATTCTGGCATACGGAGAGTGTACAATTTCCTCTAAAGGAAAATTTTATTGTGCAACGATGTAGCCTCGTATAGTTTGGTGAGATGATCCCATATCTCCTTAGTTGTATTCTTCTCCTCGATGCTTGACAATACTTCATCTACTAATGCTATATGAAAGTTTTCCATAACATTCTCGTCCATTTCTATCCATTTGTTGTCATATGTGAAATCTACCGGCCTTTCACTGATAGTTGCTAGACAACCATCTTTCCTCAGGATGACCTTCATCTTCAATTTCCACAATGAGAAATTTCTCCCATTGAACTTTTCAATATCAAATTTCGTTGCCATAGCTTCTATTACGGATAGCTCCCACTATTTCACTATCGTGAATAGTTCTTTGGAACCTTCAAAGAATGGGTAATACCTTCTTACTTTCTTATGTTGGAGGATCCACCTTTTTTGGTGGCAACTGATAATTTGAGAAAATAAAAATAAAGATAAAGAAGACACAAATTTTACATGAAAAACCCCTAAATAACATAGGGTAAAAACCACGGGCAACGGTAGAAGAATTTCACTATGAGAAAATAAGAATTACAACTTCTCTCGATCTACCAAGGGAGAAAACAATGATAATTATCTCTTGATAAAAAGGAGAAAACAACTCTCAATAAACTCTCTAAATTCTCTAGTATTGGGAGAAAGCTATAATGCTTTGGGATGATTTTTTGAAGCTTAATGGGTTAGGGTATTTATAGTTGAAGTTTAAGGACTAATCTTGTAAATACCCTAAAGTACAATGACTAAATGTGTAATTTTACCATTGCCAAAAAATCAACAATTGCTAGCTACTTTTCGGTGCCATTAATTGTGCACTTTCGATGCCCCCCAATTTTGACAATTAACTTGTACTTTCAACACTCTTTGTTTGTAGGGAATCTACCGAGAATTCCACGCTTGCTCCAAGCTATCTTTAACATCTAGGAATAAACATTCCATCTTCTTTGAACTCGAAGAAGGCTGCCACGGTAAGAAATGATAACAACATCATGTGTTGTTGCACTTCATTTTGTGTCAGTCGACTTGTGAAACTCTCCTTGGCTTGACCTTAATTTTTCATATCTCAGAAGTGCTATAGACGAATCTTTGAGGATGTTGTGAACATGACGATGAAACAAAATTTGTTTATATATTTGACGTCGAAAGATGTCTTTTCGACGTATGACATACATACTACTTGCATATATACACATCCTTAAAGATCAATATGCAACACTTCCAAGACATTGAAAATCAAGGACAAGTCAAGGAGAGCCTCACAAATCGATTGACCCAAATAGAAATACAATAACACATGATGTTGTTGCTATTTCTTTCCATGGTACCCTCTTTTCCCTTTATAGAAATGCAATAACACTGTTTTTCCTCAAATATTAAAGATAGCTTGGGAAAAGAGTAGAAATTTCTTGATAGATTCCATATAAAGAAAGAGTTTCGGGCACTCTTTTCCCTTTATAGTTTCTCTACCTTCAAGTTGGTCACGAAGGGTTTTTGAACGGAGGCCATCTTTCAATAATAATAATAATAATAATAATAGTAGTAGTAGTAAAAACAAGCATGCATACTTACCAATTTAATTTGAGATAAAATACATTCAAGTTCACTCAATTATGTATTTGGTCACAAATAATTTTTTTCTAAACTATTATAACCACAAAATTAAAATTTGTTATAAACATGTCGCTCACCATATTAGATAAAATAATGATGTAGTCTAATATAATAATAATTTGAGTCTCTAAAATTTATACATTCTATCAATTTGGTCCTATTTTAAAATTTTTCAATAATTCTATCCATTTAAATTTAAAAATTCTATCAATTCAATTTGTATTCTCATAGATTGCTTGCTCTTCTCCGAGATATATTTGTTTTAACTTAAATTCTATCAATTTACATTAATTTTTGTTAAAATTTTACAGCTATATTTGGCTTAATCTTCCCAAATATGCATTTGTCTCATCATTGAATTTAAATTTGTGCTCTCTTTTTCATTTCAAGCGACAAGTATAGGGCTTTAATAATTGTGGCTTGAGATAGAAAAGAGAGCACAAGTATTTAAACCCAATGATAATAAAAATGCATATTTGATAAAATCAAGTCAAATATAGCTATAAACTTTTGATAAAAATTAAGATAAATTGATAAATTTAAGATTAAATCATATATGTTTGAGGAGAAAACAAGTAATTTAAGAGAACAAATATTATATTAACATAATTTTTAAATTTTAAGGTAATTATTTAAGGTCGGGTTGGTGTTGGTGTACCCTAAACCTAATTTTCCCCCTACCCCAATCCCCCTAAAATATTTTCCTAAATTCAATTCTCTAAAAATATTGGACCATATAAAACTAAATTATATCGGAATCCATCGATTTTAGATTTTTTAATTATAATTATATGTAAAAGTTTTCATTTTCTCATTTTTTAACAGTTCATACTGATTCACTTAATTTTTAATTTTACCCCATTAATCAAACCAGGCGAACTAGGAACTAACATTCTCTATGTGTTTCTCAACATGAATTTTAACATTACGAAATAATAAAAGAACATTACAAAAATATTAGAAAGATTCAAAAGTATATAAGTAATTTCCAAAATTATAATCAAAATTGTATTAATTAATTATGACGGCTTATATAGAAATTTGTTAAAGGTTACGGAAAAGTGTACCTAATTCTTCATTGTAAACCATATGGTGAAAACAATTATGACACGAAATAATAATTTAAGTTGTTCATCATTTACCAATGGAATGTGGTCATATTTTATTTTCATAAATTATTTCAGTTAATGTCAATATCTCGTTTTATAATAATTGTACCAATAATTTGTACCTAAAGAAAGCTAACAACTAATATTTATAATCTTATCCTTAGTGAAGTATATTGCGATCTCCATGATGCACATTCATGAGAGTTACCGGTATTCATGCGAACTCAAATTGAAAGAGCAATCTATTCTTGACCAGAACCCTCGCCGGGTTAGTTGTCAATATAATTGTTTTTATCTTCATATCTATAGTAGTCTGTGTCTTGTGTCTTAAAAGAGTTATTTTATGTAGTAATTTCTTGTCATGTCCTTCATTTACTTGAGGTCTATGGGTTTGTCCAAGATTCTCTGCCGCGTGACGTGCGTAGTTGCAGCGGAACACCCCCATGAGATGACGCCCGTTGAACAGAAGGGTGATGTTAATTTCATTTCACCCTCGCCATTTCATCCAACGGCTATGGCTGACAGATTCTCTCTTTCTTTTCTTTCAATTTCCATTTCAGAACAGGCACTTGTGATTCCAGTGGAACCCATCTCTGCCCCGCGTCCCATAAAATAATATTCTTCGCAACGCATGCGTGACGGATGCAAGTATAAGTCAAGATGAGTAAATATTATCATAAAATCTATTTTTTTTCTGTTAACTATTATTTTTAATAATGTCCATTTTTAAAATTTTGTTTGTGATCAATTCGTATGAAAAATTTATATTATTAATATATAATATAAATCATTAAAAATATTTTTATTAGGACAAGCTTTGTCTGCGCCTGAACTCATTTTATTGGAACTGTTGTGAAACGCCTCGTGCCCTATCCGTGTCAAGAAAACTTGGAAGCACCAGTGCCGAGTTAGGGGTTCGGGCATCCGCTGCAGCCATTCCGCTTGGCTTTTGCCTTTCATCTCAAATAGAGGTGGTTCGACTTCCGTTTTTAGTCTGCTACTGTTTCTACTAGATTTTAAGGAATTTACTAACGAATTATAGTTGTATAATAAACTTATAAATAACTTCAATATTAAAAAGAAATATTATTCTTTTTAATATTTTCAGGTTTAAGTAGTTTTGTATATTCTACAAAATATTTTATAATAACACGGTCTTTTTATTTATGATGTTCGTTTTCGTCTAATTATGATCTTGTTTAGTCTATTATCATATTGTGGCATCGTCTATTCGACCAAACTTTCAAGATGGATAGAAAATATTACAAGACTATAGAGTTTTTAGGCATTTTTTCAAAAGTTCTTTTCAACTGCAATATAAATGAAGAATTAGAACTAAATTTAGCGTGGGTTCTGTCAAGATTTAGGAATAATAATTAAAAAAATAAAAATTGAAAATAACTCTTGTAGTTTTTCAAAAAATTAACATGACTCAAATTATTTTTATGTGACCCTCCAACTCAGAGAACATATTTAATGTGATATTTTGACTGATATTTTTCGTGATTAACCGTTACAGTATTAGTGTGATATTACATAATATTGATGTAACGACTCACGATAATTGATGTAATACTTCACAGTGGCTGACGACATGGTAAATGACATGATAGATAAACTAAATTTGATTTTTTGGTCTTGTTCGAGAGTTAAATTAGTTTTAATTATATTTAAATATTCTTTTGGAACTCATCAAATAGCGTCGATAGTAAAAAGAAATGTTATTCTTCTTAAAAATGTTAAATCTAAACATCTACGTCTACAACATACATGTTGTAAAATGATTAAGAAAAAATAATTATAAAACAATAAAAAATTATATTCCTTTGAATACATTAATTATAATTAAAATATAGCCTAACAAAATTGTAGACAAGAATTTTCGCCCAAAGCCCAGATATAAGGGAAGTTTTGATATTTTTTCAATTAAAGACAATCGATAAATTAATTGGTACTGTAAGGACGGTTCAAAGGTGTTAATCTTTCCTTGACCGTAACTGACTCCCGAATTCGACACATTTCTGGTAAAATGCATATCAGATAAAATGATGTTCGATCCGCCTAAATGTTTGTTAAAGTGATCGGTGGTGACTCTAACCCAATTCTTCCAAGTCGAAGCCTAATTCCGGGCTCAACTAAAAAAATTAGAATAAAAATTAAACAAATCTAACCGACAGATTCAATCCATATTTTTCAACGCATGGAAGAATATAACACTTTAAAGTTCCATTCTCTCCGGTCAGAAAAGAACCAACTAAAGTGTAAGCGCACTAAACTCATCCCAACAAAGAACCAGGTTGACAAGTAATCCACTCTTGCAATAATTTAAGATTCTTTTTTTATTCGAAAAATCAAAACCCCATTTTTATATTATAAGACAATTTTGTTTCTTTTTTATTGCTAGTGAAATAACAGCAGCTGACAAATGTGTGTCCCTGTTTCATGTGCTCCCTCCCTCGAAAATTCTAAAATGCAACTTATTGATATAAGAGTAAAAAATAGTAGAAATCAATTATAATAATTTTTTTTATTAAAATTAAATGCAAAAATAAATGGGTAAATTATATTTAAAATTAATTTTAGGTGTGTAAAGAAATTTTTGGTAAAAATATGTGTCTAACATTTCAGATGTTACACTTTTAAGTATTTGCCGTTAAATTCGACTGTTAAATGACACATGTCATGATTATAAAATTTTAAATTTTTATTTAATTTTTTTTTGTAATTTTATATACATAACATGTATCACTTAACAATCGAATTTAATAGTATTAACAGTCCAAACACCTAAAAGTGTAACGTTGAAAATGATAGACAACTAATTTTAACAAAAAAAATTAGACACCTAAAATTAACTTTAAATATAATTTGAACCCTTATTTTTACATTAAACTTTTTATGAAAAATATAACTTTTTAAATTACATAACATTTTTTATTATAAATTTTAAACCATCTAATGTAATTTTAAATTAAATTGTTGCACTCTTTTTTTTATACACGCACTCTTTTCTTTTAATCAATTATTAATATCCGTTCTATTAATTAACTCGTCGAATTTTGCATATACCCACTTCTCTCTCTTTCATTTCATATTAGAAGTAGGCCAACATATGGACACCACACCACAAATTCTCCCTTTAAAGTGTTTCATTCTTTTTGGCTTTAAGACCAGCTCTTCCCTAGTAGAGTAGGTGATTTTCATCTCTTTGAAGACTCCATAGCTTTTCCTTTTCCCCCTTTTTCTGAATCTGTTATCCATGGATACCGCTCAGTGGCCGCAGGTAAAAGAAGGGTTTGTTTCTTTTATTAATGTTTTTTTTCACTTGAAATCATGATTTTTTTCTCTCTCTGGGTTGAGTTTTTCAAATCTAATTAGCTTTAGGTTTTGGGTTTATTTACTTGCTTTAAAGTTTCACTTTTTTGACATTAGATGATGTTGTTCACGCCACCACTAAAAGTTGAATTTATGTTGTTGTCGTTTAAGATCTTTCATTCTTTTTCTCTTTGAGAAAGTACTGCACCTTTTCTCTCTCCCTTTTCACCTGCGAAGCAGCATCCTTTGTTTTTGTGTCTTGTTTGTTCCTTATCTCATCTTTCGTTATATTTATATATCTTTTTAAAAATTTCAGGGAATTGGGGTAGTTAAGCCCTTGGAAGCTTCAAGAGGCATGGTGGAGAGGAGTAGGACTCAAAATGATCAAACTTTGAACTGTCCCAGGTGCAATTCAACAAATACCAAGTTCTGTTACTATAATAACTACAGTCTTTCTCAGCCAAGATACTTCTGCAAGACTTGTCGACGGTATTGGACAGAAGGTGGTTCCCTCAGGAATGTTCCTGTCGGAGGTGGTTCAAGGAAGAACAAGAGAGCTTTATCCTCACCATCACTATCATCATCAGCAGCAGCTCCTCAAAACCATAAGATCCATGGAGGTCAAGACCTTAACCTAGCTTACCCACCACCCACTGAAGACTATAATAGCTTACCCAAGTTCATTGAGGTGCCCTACAGCAGCACTTGTGACAAAACTCACCTTCAAAACTCCACCTCTTCTTCAACCCCAACACATCTCAATGCTATGGAGCTGCTTAAGACTGGTATTAACTCAAGGAGTTTGAGTTCGTTCATGTCCATGTCAATTCCTGATTCAAATACAGTGTACTCAAGTGGGTTCCCAATGCAAGAATTCAAACCAACTCTCAGTTTTTCTCTTGATGGATTCGAAACTGGCTATGGAAATCTTCAAGGGGTTGAAGAGAGTGGTGCAAGGATTTTATTTCCCACTAACGAATTAGAGCAGAATAGAGGGCAAGGAGAATCTTCTGGCAATTGGAGTGGAATGTTGGGTGGAGGGCCTTGGTGAAAATGAACAGTAAAAAATAACAACATGGTTAAAAAGGACGAAGATGGAGCTTATGCCTTTTACTTTACACGCATGGTTGGTACTAGTTGATGTTTGATTATTAACAGTCGGAACTTTAGGGGGGGGAATGAGGCTTCACTCTTTCTTTCTACTTTTCCTTTTTACCACATTTCGATTCCCCTTTTTTTTTAACTGTAATGCTGTAGTACATTTCTCTACTCTTTGATCAGTGTGGATGTTTGAAGCTTCTTTTTAGGTTTGCTTCAAAAGGAACTGGAGTTCTTGGCTACTTACTGCTTCTTGGGGTTGCATTGACCACAGTTACACTCACTTTCATCTTGTTCACATGTCCGGGAGTGTTGGAGTAGATACCCTAAGTAAAATGAATAACTAATTAAAGAAATTCGGGATTCAGGATGTACGCTTATCTATCCTGAACCACGCTTGCCTAAAAACAATATATGTAAATTAGCAGTTGAACTAAGAAACTGTGCTTGTCTGATTGGTGTACTTAGTTTTAAACATGGATTTTCTTTGGTAATATTTTTGGTTGAGGAGGAAGTGAGTTGTCAATCCTTTAATTTCTTGTTTTTCTATATTCTTTTCGCTTTTCGATGGGTCACAAAATGTCGGGGTCTTATCGGCAACATCTGGGTTTTGAGAGATTCTTCCAACTCCACTCCCACTCTTAAAAGCAAAGCCTTCATTAGTAAGTGTGTACCATATTGAGAAGGAATACCCTAAAATAATATGAACTACTTAGGTTAGATCTGACCCGTCCCTGCACATGCTTTTCCACTTTCTAATGTAGGCTTACCACTACGGCCGTAAATGAATAGGATTTTGAACGATGAATAAGATTGTGATTATATTTGTTTGTTTAATTTTTAAAGGTATTTTTGTTCAATTGATGTTTATTTAAATTTTTAATATCATGTTCGTGTTCTTTATTTATTTTTGAAGGTGTTTATGTTATGTTCGATTATCATTTGTGAATTTATTTATTTAACTTTAGCGAACATGTTGATTTATATATTCATTAACATATTTGTTTAGCGTTAATCAATATGTTCGTTTATATAGCTTGAGCCACCTCGACAACCAACTATATCTTTTTATCCTTTCATTTTTGTTAGCTAAAGAAAAATGATAAAAATTAGCCACTAGTCTTTAAACTCATTAGACTTAATGGTTTTAATTCCAAAGTTCACTTTGTATTCGATTTAATCTCTACCTTCAAGGATATTTAAAATTTAAGAAATAAAAAAAGAATCAAATAAACGAGCTTATAAATGACTCGATAAACAAGATTATAAACGAGCTTGTTCGTGTAATAAACAAATCGAACACGTCTTTTTTCGTGTTCGTTCGTTTATTAAATGAACATAATTGTTCTTATTTATTGAACTTAATAAATAAATATTATACGAACAATTCATCGAACGTTCTCTTCATTTACCCTTCTATTTATTCTATATCATTTTCTTTTTTTTTCTTTTAAATGAACATGAGAATAATTTATATTGATATTAGAATAATTCATAACATATTAGGCTATACATGCTTTTGTTTCTTATGTAGCAATGTACTTTCCCATTTACATGAAACATGGTTACTTGCACATTTCCCATGGTAATTTCCTTTATTTAAAAGCAAAATCCCATATATATTATGTGGTAATGGATAGGACCCACAAACATTCCTCTTGGGAGTGGCGCAGAATAATAATTTCCATCAAACTTGCAAAATCTTTGAGGAGAACCCTATGGTATTCCATGATTTATGTTCATACATAAAACTATATAATATATTAATATATGTGTAGGCCTAGCACTCCAAAGACAAATTGGTAGTTTTTTTTAATATTATTAATCTCCCAAGGTGTTCACCACTTAATGAACAAATGTGTTTCAAAGCCGTGAATTGAGGTTTACCATCCCCTCATCATGGAGGTCTTTTTCTTGCCAAACTTGGGTATCAAGTAATTGTATTTTATTCTATTTATTATTATTATTATTATTATTTTTTCCTTTGGGTATCAAAGCTTCGGTACTTCAATTTTTTGTATTCCAGTTATCTCATTCTTTGAATTTATATTATGCTATATTAAAATTTTAAATCTATGAGAAATATATGCTTATGTTATAAATAAATGCTTATACTTAGTAGAGACAAATCTAGAAATATTTTTTAGGGTACCCACATATATATTAATAACAAAAAAAATTTATATGGTGTAAACACAAATAAAATTTTATGTGGACATATATATATTAATAACAAAAACATTTCGTATGATGAAAGTACATATATACTAGAAACAACAAAAAATTCGTATAGCGTAGGTAGGGCCGTGGCTGGGGGGCACAAATTGCGCGACCGCGCAGGGCCTCCCAAAAAATGGGGCTCAAAAAAAATATATAGTGACATTTTATCAATAAACGCCACTATAGATAGACCTATTGCGACGTTTTTTCAAAAAAAAACACCACTATTATTGTGGCTTTATTGATAAAACGCCATTATAGATGGATTTATTGCGGCGTTTGTCAAGAAAACGCCACTATTATTACCCTAAAATCGAATATATCTAGAAAATAGGGGTCTCTTTATACGAATTTGTACAGGGCCCCCGAAAACCCTGCCACGGCCCTGAGCGTAGGCACAAATAAAATTTTAAGATGAACACCTTCAGTAAAATTAACAACTAAAATAAGAAAATCTAAATTTCAGAGTAGAGACGTACCCACCCTGACCTCCATGTACGTCCGCCACTAATACTTAGAATACTAAGATATCGAAAATTTATAAGAAAATGTCTTTTAAAACTTAAAGTAAACTCAACTATAAAAAAATGTTAATTTTTTTAAAATATTAGGTTTAAACATTTATGTTCGTAAGATGTATTTTAATATAAAAAATATCTAATAATTCAATCAAATTGCTTATAGCAAAATAATAATAATAATAATTTCATTATTTTTTCCCACTAAGGTTGCGTTTGGTTCACGGAAAGTAAGATTACCAGTGGGAATATGATTACTGTAATGTTGTATTTTGTGTTTGGTTGGTTTAACAGGAATGTAAGATTATCGTGTTTGGTTAAAGGAATAAAAGATTATTTGAATGTATATTTAACCAAATTGTCCTTATTATATATTTATTTTTTTAACAAGTTAGAAATTATTTATATATTTTCTTTAAAAAAAATTAAATTCATAAAATTTATATAATTTTTTTTACAAAATTGAAAATATAAAAAGGTTTAATGAAAGGGTAAAATTTTATTTTATCCCCTGAACTTTATATAAAATTTTAATTATATATATATTTTTTTATAAATCTAAAATAGTTTAAGAATAAATTTGTAATTTAACCTTCGTAGAATTTTATTATTCAATGACAGAATAATGATATTTTTTAAAGAAATCTTTTAAGGGCATTTTAGTCAAAAACGCCGGTAATCCAATAATACCTAAAGAAATGGAGGTAATATGCCCAAAAAATCTACTATTGATAATGTAAAATTACCGGAAATGACATTTCCGACCAACCAAACGAGAGAATGTATATTAAATTCCCAAAAGAATCTCACATTCTCCAAACCAAACCCACACAATTTGTAAATAGCTATGGCATAGGGAGGCATTGCGTATGGTGAATGTAGTAAAGCTACATTAAAATCTGTGATGGACAGGCTGAGGCTTTTGCAATGTCACCATCACATTCAACCTTCAATCCCTTTCATTTTCCTATTGGATAGTTATGATAAGTCGGTAATCTAATTTAAGATGATTTTAATCTATAATATTATTATGTTTAATTTATAAATTTATACACATTTATAACATATTCGATTGTGACTGAAAAATTACATTACGAGTGGTCTAGAATTTACAATAAAAAATGTTATAATAAAAGTAACATTTTCGATTACAATCAAAATTATTATAAATAATGTAACATTTTAATTGTAATCGAAAATATTATTCCGTCTAATCCAAAGAATTACCCTCTTGATAAGGTTTTTAATTATAACTAATTTCTATTATTAAATCTTATATTAACAAATTATATTTTAATTTTTTTTTTTACTTTGGGTTCATTTTGTTTACCATTATGAATCATCACAATTAAAGAACTAATCTTCCATACAACTTTGATACAGAAAATGATCGCAAATTCACATTAGGTGCAAAGGATTTCATTTCATCATAATCAAAGTTTTATAAGCAAAAGAGTCAAAGCTTGATACAATATTACAAGAAAAAAATAAATTGTGTATTTAATTATTTAACTATTTATGCGATTTTGTTTTGATTAAACAATTATTTTTTTTCAAAATCATATTTAACATTTTATTTTTTTATTTTGATTATCTGTCGTTAAAAAAATAACGATAATGATGATGTGAGATTATCTTGTAATGACGAATGACCAAAATGAAATCAAAACGTAACATTAAATATGATTTTGAAAAAAAAATAATTACACGATCGAATTTAAACAAAAACTCAAATAAATATATTAATTAGATTCAATTTAAAATTTAAAATCGATTTCTCTCTCGTACAAACAAGTAATGAACCTAAATTTGACAAGGTCCAGGTCGACCTCCAAAATACAACCACGAAGGGTACGAGGTTTTGGAGATATTACTGAAGATAAACCAAGCCAGCTTGGACTGTGAGTGGGTGACAGAAATCCAGCTATGACAAAATCCTTATCACATGAACCACAAACCCAGATTTTTCAAGAGATAAAAAGGAAAAAAATCCTAATGGATGTCCCACTTCTAAAACAAGCATCCAACAATCTCTTTGAAACAACACCAAAATGACATTCAGTTCAAATAACACTCCCTCAATCACCATACTCTTTTAACAGCTTATATGTGTTAAAAGTTATACTACATACAACTGATCTTTTGTCAAGAAGAAAATGGCTGCACTTGCTTCAATCACCCCAAACTCAACTTCATCCTCTTCAGTATACCCCAATTTTAGGTCCTCCCCATTGACTATCTCTTCCAAAATTACTCCAGATTGTTCTTGCCTTGTGACTCTAAGATCAGGTCATGCATCTAAGCAAAGACTAGCTTCGCAGACTCGGCGTGGCCTTATTATCCGATGTGCTGCAACAAAGCCTGCAAAGTCACCAGGTACTACTGTTCTTGTTTATAAGATGATTGATTGGTAAACAGAACCTCCTGCTTAGCTGACTTCAATTTTCTGCTCTTGTTTTGGAGGGATTAGCTGAAGAAGAATGGAAGGTTAAGAGGGAACTTCTCTTGGAGAAAAGGGTATTCATCTCCTACTATTTCTAATGCTTAACTGCAAGTTTTGATGCATAAGAAGACTACCCTTTCTTAGTTTGGACCAGTAGAAGCTAATCAACAATGGAGATTTGTTCCTTGCAGGTAAGAAGTGTGGATGCAAAGGAAGCTTTTCGCCTTCAAAAAGAGAATAACTTTGTGATTCTTGATGTACGACCTGAAGCGGAATTTAAAGAGGTCAGTTTCAACCGCGAGATAAATCGTTGGCGAAAGGGGTTTCGGTTCATTTTCAAACTTACACAATGACAGGAACAGAACAGCAAAGTTCTGACTCTAAATTTGATGCCTTTTGATGCAGGCTCATCCCACAGGTGCCGTTAATATTCAGATATATAGGCTCATAAAGGAGTGGACGGCATGGGACATTGCCAGGCGTGCGGCATTTGCATTTTTCGGCATCTTTTCCGGCACAGAAGAGAATCCCGAGTTCATCCAAGGTAGAACCGCGTTCCCTATGTTTCTTCTATTGTCTACCCACCATGTACTACTTAGCAGATATAAAGGAACCAAGTATTTGGTATTTAAGCAGGCGTAGAATCAAAATTTGACAAGGATGCAAAGATAATAGTGGCATGCACCACTGGGGGTACGATGAAGCCATCCCAAAATCTCCCTGAAGGTCAACAGTCAAGGTAAAGTATTTACAGCATTTTGAAAATATAAAGTGAAAAGGCAGTAATTATCATAGCATCAAACAAACTACAATCTTACATGTTTAAAACTACCACACAATAGTGTTACACTTGTATAGGTTTAATTTAACCACTTTACTAGAAACTTTTTACAAAATAATGACATGCATAGTGATATCATAATAAAAGAGATATCAAGATTTTAGGTGGAAAACTCTTTCGGGAAAATCACGGGCAGAAAAGGAGAATTTTCACTGATGTTGAAAATAAAAAAATACAAGAATATTTGCAGAATCGACTAATCTTCTAATCCTAATCTATTTAGTTCAAGTCTTATAGCTAGATGCAAATGCTACTTGCAGGTCACTCATAGCAGCCTACTTGTTGGTGCTCAATGGGTACAAAAATGTTTTTCACTTAGAAGGGGGTCTTTACACATGGTTCAAAGAAGAACTGCCATCGGAATCCGAAGACTGATGGATCAAATGATTAGATGGTGCTTCCATTGAAGCTCAAGTTTTGTCCCTAAGGCTGATTTCTCTCCCTTTTCCCTTTAGGTTTTGAATGTGAATTCTCTTTCGACATTTTAATGGTACCAAGAACTTTGTACCTTATCATCCTAAGTTTGGACATTTAAACTATATTCTTCATAACAGCACATTAATCATCTACATCATTAAACCAGTTCCAAGTCATACCTGGAATCAAAGTCTACACACCATACAAAGAACACTGTATTCAGGTAGTTTTTAAACCTCAGCTTTGGGGCTTTACACTTGCGCTCACGAGGAAGAGTGGAACCAAGAGCACAACTCGACATTAATCAAGTCTAATTAACTTTTTACAAGTCAAACCCGAATAGCTTTAGAGCATAGGTGTCTGAAAAACGTTCAGACTTTTATCTATGTACAGAGTTATTGTCCATTTCTTTTGGAATGCTTTTACAAATCAATGAAATCTTTGCATTTGAAAAGAAAAAGCCACCCTTATTATTACAAAGGATCGGAAAGATCCCAAAAACAAGGCCAGTCTCAAAAAGTGATCCACCACATAACATCCCAATTAAGATGAATCAACAGGGTAATTTATAAATAACACATAACTAAAAGATTTCGCTTCCTAACTTCCCCAAGCACCCTTGAATTTGCTGCATCTAATATTACGGGGGAAAAGAATTGGAGCCAAAAGCCAATTGGAAAGTTTAAACTAAAACCGTTTCAAAACTGCCATCACAAGCTTGAACCTGATCGCGTGGCGGCATCTGAGCACATAACTGCAAATTTCAGGTATCCTGGGAATCTGATCGAAGGTTAACAATTTGAGAAACTACAAGCTTGGAGAGTTCATTGATTGCAGCTTGAACCTGATAATCATCTGATTCCCTTTGCCTTGACCATCCAGATAACTGTGAACTTAACCTGCTATATTCATTTGCAGCAACCCCAGTCTTCTTTGATGTGGCAAGAACTTTCTCCAAATCAGTCTGTGATAATGGCCTTGGAGTCTGAAAAAAGACGATGGAAGATGAATAAAAAGCCTTGACATGATAAATAAACAACCATAAGTAGTTTAGAAAATTGCTAGAGGAAAAAGACCCAATTCAATCAATTACAATTTACACATGCAAAAATAAGTTTTATAATTACTTTATGTTTAAAAACAATAAAATGATCTTCCTTGAATCTCTCATTCCAACTATAATCATGTACTTGTGGCCAAGAAAAAGTTAGATTCAGTCTCTCATCGCAGAACAGAATTTTAAAATGTGTGAGATAATTCGTAAATATATACACAAAATATGCTTACTCCAGATGGTTTTCCTTTCTTCTCCTCATCTAGTAAGTCCCTGATAGGAAAGTAGGCTGCTTTCTTGCAGAGTTCAAGAAGATCCGAACCTGTGTAACCTTCACACAAACTAGCTATGTAGTCGAAGTCAATGTTTGGTTCAACCCTCTCACCCTTCAAAATTACCTTCAAAATCTCAGCCCTCTCCCTGCGGTCAGGTACTCCAATCTCAAAAGCCTGAGGGAGACGTCTGAGTATCGCTTCATCTAGTTCTGATGGACGATTTGTTGCAGCAAGAACCATAACTCGTGCATTCTCTGCATAACATTATAATATCATTAAATTTTACGTTTAATAACAATACCTAGACATTCTTCAGGGAACCCTTCATCAAAAACCAAATAGAATATAGTTGTAGGAGAACTGATAGCATTATGTAACAGCCTTTAGATAAAAAAATACTCACGATCAGTGGTAAATCCATCCCATAAAGCCATAAACTCAGTCTTCATGTTTGTCATTGCTTCATGATCTGTATTACGACGCTGTCCCAAGAAACTGTCGACCTCGTCAATAAATATAATAGCAGGCTGGAGTTTATAAGCCAAACTAAATACAGCTGCCACTGCAAATAAATAATTCAATCTGAGACATATGAAACAACAAACTTGCATGGGGTATTACAGCCATTAGAAAACGCATAGAACGTAGTTGTGATCACAAAACCATTTTTGGGCCACAAGCCAAAAGAGATGGTACAAAACCATCTTAGCGTGACCTTAGGATGGTCAAATGAGTAAACCTTCTCTTAAAAAAGTTCTTTTCACCTACATCTTGGTTTTAAAAAGCGTAAAGCGCCCTAAAGCACCTAGGGTCCTAGACGCCGAAGCGCTAAGCGCTCGCTTTATGCACATGAAGCGCCAGACAGACCGAAATTCACAAAAAAATACAGAATATTTACAAATTAACGTATAAATACTTAAATATCAAAGTGTCAATGCATATATTCAAAACTTATAAGTACTTAAACACCAAAATATAATTCTCAATTTACTTATAAGTTATAAATACTTAAATACTTATATACCATTAACCATACGACTATACGAGCATATTAATCTCAAAAGATGGTCTACACCAAAAGTAGTCTAAAGTGAGATGAACAAAAGTATTTTTCTAAACCCTCAATTCCTTATAACTAAAAATCCTCTAAATCGTCATCTTCATCAACTCGGACAACACCATCTCCTTCATCACTAGATACTCCAATATCTTCTTCCATCTCATCTTCATCAACTAAGCATCTACGAGATGGTCTACTAGAGATAGGATTATGAGCAGGAGATTTTCCTTTATCATTCCGCGATGGTTCGGCTAATGAGATTTTCCTGATAATCTAATAGCCCGCTAAACCCTAAACAAGCCCAAAAATCATATATCTGCTAAAGCCCAAAATCGTATCTTCTAAACTCGCAATTAAGCGCCGATTAGCGCTTTGCTAAAAGCGCTGCAAAAGCACCGATTACTACCGCTTAATGAATTCGTAGTGCTTGCTATGCTGAAGCGCCAGGGGCCTCGCTCGAGTCGCTTAGCGCTTTAATCACGCTTAAGCGGCGCTTTTTTAAACACAGACCTACATAACACCTCTTCTGATTTTTCAACTAGAATTTAACTCAAAAGGGGAAAAACAAGGAAAACAGATTGCAGTACAATTGCAATTCTGTATAACCATATACATTCCGGTATATTCAAAGAACTAAAAATGACAGCTAACCAAAAGGGATAGGATAATTGCTACAAATGCATACCGAGTTTTTGCGCATCGCCAAACCACTTGCTCATCAGATTTGATATCCTAACATTAATAAAAACAGCGCCAGACTCCTTTGCAATGGCTTTAGCAAGCATGGTCTTTCCGGTACCCGGGGGTCCATATAATAAAACCCCTTTCTGAGGACCAAGAAGCTTTCCATGCGAAAACAGCTCTGGTCTCCGCAATGGAAGAATCACTAGTTCATAAAGAGCCTGCTTGATGGCTTCCAATCCTCCAATAGATTCGAATTCGACATCAATGTGATCAGGGTTTATCACATCACAAGCTATTACATCCTGTTAAAATGAAATAAGTAACCACAGAAGCTAACACTCGGGATCCATTGCTTCTATTTCCAACACATTAATTCAAAGCAAATATTCCAACAATCAATAAAACACTAGGGAAATTAATCTCTCTTGCAGAAAAATTAGAAATTGACCGAAATAAGCTTGGACTTTTTAAAGGAATATATATTTATAAGGAAAAACGAAAAGGCTTGTTTTTGTTTCAATTCAGAAATAACAGTACCTCGTATGGATTGGTATGAATTAGAGGACGACCCAATCGATTGGCAATTTCCTTCTTGTGCTCCTGTGCTTTTTTAGAAGCTTCTCGGTTCGGGTCGAGGTGTCGGAGCCCCGCGAAGAGGACTAAGCAACTGAGGGCGGCGCTGGCGGCGTATAAAATAAGTTCTTGCAGGAGCTTCGTCTCCGATGAAGATGAACCCATCTTTCGCGATGATTTATCTACCTCCAATAGCTTTTAGTATTTATGTATAGAAAAATTAGGGTTTTTGAGTTTTACTGATGGAGAGAAATATTGCTTTGAAAATCAAGCAAAGGATTGAGATTTTTTTGTATGGTTTCTCAAAGATCCTTCTAGACGAATGATGAAGCAGAATGGGTTTTCTAATTCCATTAAATATACATTTGGTACTCAAATTAGGCATATTATTTTAAATTCATACTTCAAAGTCTTTTTGTTATCAAAATGCCATTCAACTTTAGTTTCTGTTAAGATATTTTATTTAGGATAAATTATAATATCCATCAGTCAGCTATTTTTTCACTACTATTCTGATTATTGAATTTTAAAAATTAATGATTTAATCATTAAACTTCCGAATTACTACGTTTTAATCATTATGATGAATTTATTAATGGATGGATATAAAAAAATATAAACAAAAATAATTAAAATTTTTAATTTTAAACCATAATTCCCAACCCAAACCTAACTCCCCCCAATCTAAAACCCACCAACATCACAATCTGACAACGTCGTTGGTTTATCTTGAAGTAATGCATGGCTTCTGTCAGTCGTCGATCCACCGCGCAAGGTGGTTTCAGTCGACGAATGCCTCACGGTCAAGGGAGCAGAGGTTATTCTCAGCTACTGATCGATATACCGTATCGATTCCAGTTGAGCCTTGTTATGAAGCGATGATGCTAAGAGTAGGGGCCTCAGTTGATGAAGATTGTGAGCTCAAGGCCAACGATGATAGCGTTGGAGACTTTGTTTTTTGAACTGTGGCTGGTGGAGAAGCAAAAGGAGCTAGTGAAGGGATAGCTGGAGGAGGAGAAGTGGGAGGTGAAAAGCCAATAAAGGAGTGGCAAGAGGTGGGGTTGCTAGACATGGAGAAATCGGGGAAGATAGGATAGGATTTTGAGATTTAAAGTTTGAATATAATATTTAGATGTATATTTTGGATTTAATTTTTTGAATCTTATTTGAAATTTAACATTAGTAAAACATGTAATGACATAATAATAATAAAATAATATTTTTCATTAGAGAGTAAAAAAAATAAAAGTAATTTTAAAATTTAGTGATTAAATTAAATTTTTTAACTTTAATGATCCAAAATAAAAATGACAAAATATTGAAGGATAAATGATAAAATTATTCTTATTTTACACCATTAATTTTTAATAACGAGGTAATATAAAATTATATTATATATTAATAACAATAATAATGTATTTTGTGCTTTTTTACATAAAAATATTTAAAATTTTTAAGAAGATTTCAAACGTGATGTGACAGATTATTCCTATATTCCCATACATTACTGTCGCATATGAAATTGTGGTGACACATCTGTATATTAACTTTATATCATTCGCTCGAAAACCTCATTTGTTTCATCATACCAATGTTTCCTATTTTAGATCTTTAGATTGAATTTAAATACATAATTTATCTTTGTAGATAAATTTTTATATTGTTTGACTCTAATTAATATTTTATCAATAATCTTTCAATAGTTTAATATCTTTTATGATTTATTTATCGATATAATTAGATTTGTATAAAATATATCATCAACCGTCGCAAAACATGTTATATTGAGCCATGCTTTTATGAAGTTTATTGTTTGATAAGTAACTTTACGACTTCATATTCAACGATGGTGGTTTCATCTTTTGGCGAATTTCTCGAAAAATCACCCTAATCTTTTTTTTATCTGTTAGGCATCGTTCAGATTTTATTTCTCGATCTAACACCCTTTGCAGAAAAGCACGCTTTAGGGGTGCGTCTTATGCTGATCTGGCGCCACGTAGGGTAAGGCGTGCCCCTGAAGCGTGCCTTGTGAAATATGTACAAAATTCAGGTGCTAATTTTGTAAATATTTTTAAAATAGTGCCTAATATGTAATTAATTTCTATTAGGGTGATATTTGTGTAAAAACTTCAACTTTATTTATTTATTTTTTCTGTGTGAAAAAAAACTTTCTACATTAAAATCTTTAAATATTGTTTTGCAAATTATTTTATAACTCGATAAATTTTTATTTTTGCATGAAATTAAACAATACGTATAATCTAATATAGAAAAACTTTGAGGGTAAGTATTTTAAAATATGAATAATTTTATAAAAGTTTTATAACTAGTATTTCTTTTTTAAAATGATGATGATAATAAATATTTTATAATTTTAAAAATTATAAATTTTATATATTTTTGAATTTTTTTTGACTTTATATTCTTTTTGTATTGAATTTTATTCACTTTTAATTCTTTTTTTATTGCATTTTTATACTTTAAATTACAATTGATAGATCAAATGAATTATTATTCACTTTTTAAAAAAATCAATAAAAATGTAATAAAAAAGAATTAAAAGTGAATAAAATTTAATAAAAACGTCAACTTTATTGATTTATTTTTGTGTGATATTATTTTTTAACTATTAATAATATTTATTGACTTTTAATATTAGTTGTTTAAAAATATAAAAATATAAAATAATTTTTTAATTACAATTGATAGATCAAATTAATTATTAATCATTTTTTAAAAAATCAATAAAAATACAATAAAAAAGAATTAAAAGTGAATAAAATTCAATACAAAAAGAATATAAAGACAATTTTTTTTCAAAAATATATAAAATTTATAATTTTTTAAATTATAAAATATTTATTATCATCATCATTTTGAAAAAGAAATACTAGTTATAAAACTTTTATAAAATTATTTATATTTTAAAATATTTACTCTCAAAGTTTTCCTATACTAGATTATACGTGTTGTGTAATTTCATGCAAAAATCAAAATTTTTCGAGTTATAAAATAATTTGCAAAAGAATATTTAAAGATTTTAATGTAGAAATTTTTTTTCACACAAAAAATAAATAAATAAAATTAACGTTTTTACACAAATATTATCCTGAAAAAATTAATTACATATTAGGTATTATTTTAAAAATATTTATAAAATTAACACCTAATTTTTAACACGCGCTTTTTTACGAAAGGGTGTTAGATCAAAAAATAAAATCTAAACGATAACTGAAAGTAAATAAAAAAAAGGTTAGGGTGATTTTTGGGGAAATTCCCCCCATCTTTTTCCTTAACGTCACTTGGACGAAACGAAGAACCTCGCCTCCTTTTGTTCTCTCTCATAAGTTAACCATCATACTATTATTTTAGGATAAATTATAATGAATATCACTCAACTTTAATTTTTTTACTATTGAATTTAAATTATTTTAACTTTAATATTTAAATTTAATTTTGAGTTCAATTTGGGAATAGGACGATAAATTATTAACGACGTGGAGTAATTATTGTTTTTTTTGTAAATTTTAATTTGTATATCGATTTTTCATTAAATTTTAAAAGACTTTAATTTTATACACTAAACTTTAGTTTGCATTTTAATTTGATCCATGCAGAAAATCGTCCAACTCTGATGACCTTCGATGTCGATCAATTGTTGCTTGTTATCGATCGCTATTCACAATAAGATCAATACCAAAACTTCACATTTCACTCTTCTTTCTTCTCCCCAGATTGATTTTCCACGAAATATACTCAAAATTGATTAAAATCTATTTAAAGGTTCAATGTTCTAGTGCTTCAATATTTTCTAATGGTGGTCACATGAAACTAGTTTTGAGACATATTGTTAGTCTTCTTAAAAAAATACATCTCACCGTTCTAATTTTCAAACAAACACTCCAAACCTCTTAAATCTTATAAATCTCCTAAACGCTCCAAAATGATGAAAATGATGATTATATGGAACAAAAATTACTTTTTTAACTTCCACATCAACAATATCAATATCAAGCTCATATCATTCGATTGTTATTGATTTAACGACGTAATACTTTAATTGAAACTAAAACTAAAATTCAGTGTTTAAATTTAATAATATATGATATATTTTATCCTTTATTTTATCATTTCTCCAATTTTCCCAAGTGCAAATCAAGCTCAAGATATTCAAACAAAATATTGAAGTGTAAATCAAGATGACTCTGGAGCAATATCATATATTAACATACTATTAATGAAATTTATTTGCTGAGAAAAATAAAATAAAACTAGTTGACACCCCCTTCACTCTCTATTTGGATCACGTAGTAATAGGATGGATGTAAAATTTTATATTAAAAATATAAATTTAAAAAATTATATTAAAAATTTAAGAGATTCGAAATTAGAAAATATGCATGGTTAGATTATTAATAAAAATACAAAAAAATACTTAAAATATACGAAAATTTGAAATTTCGATCGACCATAGTCCATCACACCTTCTATCCATCCCTGTGTTGTAGCAAATTCTTGGAATCTGAAAGATGAGTCCATGACCGACACTTATATACTTCCTGCTCTTTCTTCTTCGGAAGATCTCTTGTCGTCAACAGGTTGTCACCGGTTGCTACCATGTCTTCTAGCTCTTTTCATTTAACTGCTTGATTATTCAAAGTTCCCTGATATCAAACAGACCTGGAAATGTTTTAAGTCCAGAAGTTTAACCACTGAGAACTTGTGCTACATGAATGATCCAACATGGCCGCCGAATCAAGCCCATCAATCATCAGAAATTCTTCAGCGGCCAATCCCGTTTGCTTAACATCATCGCTGTTGTTCTCAGCCTGTCCGAAGCTTGGCTGTGCTTCGGCTTCAACTGCGCTGCTTCCATCAACACGGTTTCTTCCACGAGGCTCGGCCAGCAGTTCACTCAACTTCTGCATCTGCACGCCGTTGAAAAAAAAACATCAGTTCATATAAACTCACACTGAACATCTTCAACATGGGTTCCGGTTACCTGTAAAATCAAAGATTGTTTTTCTTTCTTCAACCATTCGAATCTCGATTCCAGGTTGTCGTAATTTGCTTTGAGTGTGTTGTAATCTTGCTCTATCCGTTTGGACTTCCATCTGGCTCTTCTGTTTTGAAACCATATAGCTACTTGGCGAGGCTGGAGCCCCAGCTCTCTCGCCAGTTGCATCTTCTTTCTCGGGTCGAGATTCGTCTCTGATTCGAATATCGACTCGAGCAACCTGATTTGCTCATCACTAAACCTCCTTTTGTTCTTCATCTTATTCTTCTTACTCCTTGGTTCTGCTCTTCCTTCATCTGCTGCTGGATCACACTCTCTATCCATTATTGGATTTTGAAGGGTAAATTAATGTGTTTGGGATTAGTAAATATATAGTTGAATTACACGGTTGCTTTCAAGTGCTTGAGACTGGAATTTAAATTTCGATTGTGATTGTATTTTTAGTCACCTTACGTTTATTGTAATTATAGATATAACAAATACTACTATGGTCATTGTAGTATCACGGTCGTATAATAATAATTGCAGATATAATGACTGCTATTTTGATAGTGGACCGCTATTTAAATATCTGTTTAAGATACATGATTGATAGGTTATCTTAACCGATAAGACCAGCTATCGTGTGATATTCTCTTTCTTATGCCTTGTGGATATCTAGTTGGGTGATTGCTGCCTGGATCAGGCTCTATTGCATGAACATATTTTATATATGGAAATCAATCTTTTCTTGTATACATGCAAATCAAAATCCCTGCTCAAACTAGAAAGAAGAGAAGTTTTAAAACATCTCCAACTACCATTCTTTGCTTGTGAAATATCTACCCTAAGTCATAGGAGCACATCACATGGGCTTGTTGTGGTCTATGCAAGAACTTGTTACATGTAAACATTTGGGATGTGAACTCAGGACTTCAGTTGTGGTGTAAAGGTTTTTGTTGTATTTCTTCCATTTCTCCTCCATATTATTTTTTTGATTATCTTTTTCATTCATCAAGGCCTATGGAGAACACTTGAGAGAATACTTTTGGATTATGGGCCGTTACATTCTTTAGGAAGTTGTGATCCTTTAATATGACCTCTGGAACACACAACGTAATATGTCAGAATTAATAGTTGATCATATCAATCAAACATGCTAATTAATGGGTAACCATAATAACTCTGCCTAACACTAATGTTAAGGGTAATTATAAAATCTCTCGATCAAGATCAAAAAGAGGGTTTTGGAATCTATCTCAACCACCTTTGGCCCTTCCTTCACTCTTTTTCTTCCTTATGAGAGAAGAATACGCAAATATCAATCAACCATATTATAATCATGGACTACGACTCTATTCAAACCAAAAGAAATTAACCACACAAGCAGTTTTGTTTATATAATGCAATTATACTTGGAGGTTGATGGAGATGAGATTTGAGGCTGGATTCAACTACTGCATGGTGGGCGAAAGCTACGTAACTAATAAAGTGTGATTACCTTGTGGACTTATTTGTTGGTAGGTACCTAATCCAAACATCACTATGGAGCTAGTGAAGTCTGGGGAATTCCAAATTATTCAAACTTTTTGACATTTTCTCCGTTTTCTTTCTATTTGTAGCTCTATGGTAGGGTACTTGTATTTATTTTATTTTTCATTTCACAAAGAAAGCTACAGTTGGGGGACATGGAAAAATATTGCAAATGTACTAAATGGCATTTTTGAAAAATAATTGTATGATCGATTGAACTAAACATAATTAAGTACTTGTAGATTTTTCTGTATTAGGCGCCCACAACCAACGGAGTAGTTAAATATATCTGTCCAAGCATTGAAGGTTCACATATATATATATATATATATATATATATAATTAGTCTACTTTAGAATTTCTTGCATTCTTTAATATTTCCTAATATTCCACGTTCAATGTTTCGAAAACAAGGATATTCGACTCTGCTTATAGTTTCGAAAATCTGTTGTAGCTTCGAAATTATAATTCAAAATTTTAGAAACTAAAAAAACAAAAGGTCTAAAACTTCAGAAAAAATTCTTGGATGCAATTGAAGCTCACAAAAGCATAAAACTATTCGATTATTTAAGATCAAGTAATTTAGACGAATTAAGCGAACTTGATAGGAAAAAAATTGTTACTATTCTTTAAGGTCTCGAGTTTGAGTTTTAGAATGTCAGGGGTATAAGTTATTGATATTAAATGATTAAGTGTTATATTTAAATAGATAATTCATTGTAGTCACTAAAGATGTACTACGCCTCTTAGGGGGTCAAATACATCTTATTATTTTGAGAAAATTATTTAATTTAATGTGTAAAAAAAATTACATATCTACTGTTTCTAAAAAAATATTAAAATTTCAAACTTTTATTCATAAAATTTTAGATTCGTAGCTAATTATCACTTTAAATTAATAAAAAAACAGAGATAAAATCATCTAGTCTATCCGTCTCACTAAAACTCTGCACCATATCACCCTGTCACAATCAAATTGAGTAATCAAGAAATATCTTCGTCTACTGCGCTTGCCAACAAGCGACAAACCTCACATGAAACAAACAAATTTTAAACATTGACGTAATAATAGTTATTATTTTTAAAGGTTTAATATTCGATTATTATATTAGAATTGTATTTGAAATTTTATTTTTAAATAATTGATAATTTTTCAAACATATATTACTTTTAATTATTTTAGATTAATAAAAAAGTTGTTTTCGAAAGAAATTTAAATTTAAATTTAAACTCTGGGTGTTGTTATGTTATCCAATGTAATATTTCCAACTCAATCAAGTCTTAAAATAGAATTTAGATTGTTATATTTACTGATATCAAAATTGAGATTTAATCGATCATAACACTAAATTAGGACTCAAATACATATATAAAGTATGTTTTGAAAATTGGTGCAACAACTTAAACCGAAGTAGCAAGCATTAATGCACTAAAAGGTGCAATGGATAAATTCAATATTCAAGCTTGATTTTGTTGACATTTGGTAAAGGGAAAATTACATAATTTAGTCACTGCACTTTAGGGTATTTATAATATTAGTCTTTAAGCTTCAACTATAAGTACTCTAACTCATTTAGCTTCAAAATCATACCAAATCATTCTAGCTTTCTCCCAATACTAGATAATTTAGAGAGTTTCTTGAGAGTTGTTTTCTCCTTTTTATCAAGAGAGAATTATCATTGTTTTCTCCTTGATAGATCGAGAGAAGTTGTAATTCCTATTTTCTCATAGTGAAATTCTTCTACCGTTACCCGTAGTTTTTACCCTATATTATTTAGGGGGTTTCCACATAAAATTTGTGTCTTCTTTATCTTCATTTTTATTTTCTCAAATTATCAATTACGATTTTGCTCTATCCAATAGCTGCATTCCGCAACAATTGGTATCAAGAGCCAGATTTAAGTGTGTAATATCTTCTTATTGTCTTTGTGGTTGCCACCAAAAGGAGGATCCTCCAATATGAGAAAGTAAGAAGATATTACTCATTCTTTAAGTTCTAGAGAACTATTCACAGTAGTGAAATAGTGGGAGCTATCCATAATAGAAGCTATGACAACGAAATTTGATATTGAAAAGTTCAATGGGAGAAATTTCTCATTGTGGAAATTGAAGATTAAGGACATCCTGAGGAAAGACGGTTGTCTAGCAGCTATCAGTGAAAGGCCAGCAAATTTCACAGATGAAAACAAATGGATCGAAATGGACAGAAATGCTATGACAAACTTTCATCTAGCATTAGCAGATGAAGTATTGTCAAGCATCTAGGAGAAGAAGACAACTAAGGAGATATGAGATCATCTCATCAACCTGTAGGAGGTCATATCGCTGCACAATAAAATTTTCCTTAAGAGGAAATTGTACACTCTCCGTATGCCAGAATCTACTTCAGTGACAGCATACTTAAACACACTGAACACTTTATTTTCTTAGCTTACATCCTTAAGATGTACAATAGGAGAACAAGAACGGGCTGAACTTCTACTTCAAAGTCTATTTGATTCGTATGATCAACTCACCATCAACTTGACAAACAGTAATGTCACTAGTCTAGTCTTCGATGACGTTGCATCTACTGTTCTACAAGAAGAAAATCGGCGCAAGAACAAGGAAGACAGACAAGTAAATCTGTAACAAGCAGAAGTGTTGACAACGATGAGAGGGAGATCAACAGAACGTGGCCAAAGCAACAGCCACAAACATGGTAGATCGAAGTCGAGAAGCAAGAAGAATTTAAGTGCTACAACTGTGGAAAGAAGGGTCACTTGAAGAAGGATTGTTGGAGTCTAAATAAAAATTCCAATCCATAAGACAATACCGCAAACACTTGAAGATGGAGACGCTCTATGTTGTGAAACGTCAACCACTGTGGCAGGTAGAAAAATATTTGCAGATATATGGCTCATTGATTTGGGAGAAACATATCACATGACCTCAAGAAGATAATGGTTCCATCATTATGAACCTATCTCAGGAGGATCTGTGTATAGTTGCAATGATCATGCCTTAGAGATTGTTGGTATGGGGACTATCAAATTGAAGATGTATGATGGAACAATTAAAGTTATTCGAGATGCGCGGCATGTGAAAGGCTTGAAGAAAAATTTATTATCCTACGGATTGTTGGATAATAATGCAAGAAAGATTGTACATGCTGAAAGAAATCATGAAAGGAATCATGAAGGTGTTCTGTGGAGCACTTGTGGTGATGAAAAGATAGCAACAAACTTGTACATGCTGAAAGGAGAGACTTTGCTAGAAGAAAGCCTTTGTTGCCTCATGTAGTTTAGATTCTGCAATGCTATGGCATCAGAAACTTGGACACATGTCAGAACAAGGAATGAAAGTCCTTGTAGAGCAAAATATACTTCCAGGCTTAACAAAGGTATCACTTACTTTGTGTGAGCATTGCATAACAAGTAAGCAGCACCGGTTGAAATTCAACACATCAAATTCTAGAGGCAAAAATGTTTTAGAATTGGTTCATTCTAACGTATGACAAGCACCAGTTACATCCCTAGGCGGAGCAAAATATTTGTCTCATTTATTGATGACTACTCCAGGAGATGTTGGGTATACCCTATTAAGAAGAAGTCAGATGTGTTTTCCACATTCAAAAACTTCAAAGCACGGGTGGAACTGGATTCTGGAAATAAGATCAAGTGTTTCAGAACACATAATGGAGGAGAATACACACGTGAAAAATTTGATGACTTTTGCAGGAAAGAAGACATTAAAAGACAGTTCACAATGGCGAACACTCCTCAATAAAATGGAGTGGCAGAACGGATGAACAAAACCTTGTTAGAAAGAACAAGAGCAATGTTGAG